CCTGCCTGTCTGCCTGTCTCACTGTTTGTCTCTGTCTCTCTGTCTGGAAGGGGGCGAGGAACAGGGGGAGGGCGGGTTTAGAAGAACAAACAACGCTATAACCATAAACTTGTGGCGCTCCGCGCGGAGCGCCAAAAGTTTATGTTCATGGCGTTTTCTCTTCTTCGAGGGTCGGAGCAGGGGGAGGGGCGGGCCTGGACGTCGCTGCAGCTGGGGCACACCCAGTCACCGGGCTTCATGTCTGGCGCCGCCGCCGCGGCGGCCGCCTCTGGGTTCGGGTTCGGGGTGCCGCACTTCCTCCGGCCGAGTGGCGGGAGGGGGGGTGAACATCACGTCAACAATCCCCATCCCCACTGGCGTGGCCTTGGCCGCACTGGCCGTCTTACCCACCGAAATAGGTATACACACATGTGTATATATACATATATATACACATCTATATATATATATATATATTTATATATTTATATATATATACACACGGGCCTGCCCCCAAGGAATGATTTTAATGTGTATATATAGATGCTTGTTTTTTCGGATTCCGCGGAGCCCATCCCCACCCAGGATGGCGAGCTGGTGGGGCTGGGACACCATGGCCCAGGGGGGATCGCAACTCTCAGAACCCGCGGCGCACGCATCCTGAGGCCTCCGGCAGCGTCTGAGAGCCTTCGGGAGCATCCGGGGAATCGGCCTCATCCTCCTTTTCCTCCTCCTCCTCCTCCTACTTTTCCTCCTCTTTTCCTCCTCCTTCTCCTTGACTCAAGGGCTCTTCCCCCGAACTTCCAATCTCGCTCGTGAGATTGAGGCGTGTTATTCGGAAATATTATAGACCTAACGGCCTGGAGTTCGCTACTGCAAGCACATTTCATCTCTACAACTTCGAGCGCATGGAGAGGGGCCCTGGGGACAGGTCACAGGCTGAGGCTTTAGTCAAGAGCCGCAAGCAAGGCCTCAAGGAGCAAACCAATGCACTTTATCCACTGGCTATATCCAAGGCTGACGCCATCAACAATGAACACAAGGGTCTTCTCACTCGTTTGACAAAGAAGGAGCGTCGCGCTGAGTCAGGGCCCGCAGCAGGGGACAGCTCAGCAGGTAGTATAAAAAGGCCTACTAGATGGGGTCGGAGGATCTCGCCGCATCGCCAAAACATACCATCGGCGATAAATCGGCGATATACCGCCGATGCATCGGCGATGCACCGGCGACGTCGGCGCGGAGAAAAGTGGGCCCCACATCGAGCCGCATCTGCGATGTTTAGGGTTTAGGGTTTAGGGTCTAACAGGGCAAGGCCAGGAATACCTACCTGCATAGGCACTCACCTGCGGTGGCTATCAATCCCCCCCGCATCTCCACCCCCACATAAAGATCATCTCTCCTCTCATGTTATACCGTGGTTGTAGCATAGCATAGCATACCATAGCAAGCCTGGGAGCAAGCGCTTAGCAAAGAGGCGGCGGCCGCGCGCGCGCGCGGGAGACCCTAACGGGCGGGTCGGGTCGGGTCGGGCGGGCGGACCCTAACGGGCGGGTCGGGTCAGGTCGGGCGGACCCTAACGGGCGGGTTGGGTCGGGAGGGCGGGACATTCAAGTATGGTGCGTGTACACTTGACACGCGTGAACCCTAACAAGCGGGTCGGGTCGGGCGGGCGGACCCTAACGGGCGGGTCGGGTCGGGTCGGGCGGACCCTAGCGGGCGGGTCGGGTCGGGCGGGCGGGGCATTAAAGTATGGTGCGTGTGCACTTGACACGCGTGAACCCTGACGGGCGGGTCGGATCGGGTCGGGTGGGCGGACCCTAACGGGGCGGTCGGGTCGGGTCGGGCGGACCCTAACGGGCGGGTCGGGTCGGGCGGGCGGGACATTAAAGTATGGTGCGTATGCACTTGACACGCGTGAACCCTAACAAGCGGGTCGGTTCGGGTCGGGCGGACTCTAGGGTTCGCCCGACCTCAACGCGCTTTGCTATGCAACGCCTCTCGTATGCTATGCCAGCATTACATAGATTAGCACAAAGGCGAGTTCCACAACATCTGGATCACCGCAGCCTCTAGCGTGGCTGTCGCATAGCACCACTGCTGAAAGAAAACGTCAAAATTTCCAAAGGAGTTGGCCATGATCGCGCGGCCGCCGCGCGCTTGTGCACTTTGTCGTATTTGTCGCAATGGAATAGTACCATGCACACATCTTGCAAAGACAGAGTCTTCAATTTATAATATGTTTTACAATATAAAACTCCGGTACGCATACGGGGCCGCCGCGCGCGTGTGCACTTTGTCGTATTTTTTGCAATGGAATATGAGCATGGACACATCTTGCAAGAGCAGGATGTTGAGTTTATACTATTTTTTCCAATATAGAACTCCGGTGCGCATCCCGGCCCGCGACCCGGGTTGGGCACGAAACATATGAAAAAAAACATAGGATTCTGATAAATTCGATGCGTATGATCAGGATATAGTGTTTTTGACAGGGATGAGCCGGGCCCGCGGATAGACCCGGTCACGATCCATTGTAAAAAAAACATAGTTTTCAGAGCGCATGATCAGGAAATGGTATTTTTTGCATAGGATGGAGGCCGGTTTGCATAGCGGCCGGTTTTGCAGCATTTAGGGTTTATTAATAATAGAGATTAGAGATTTAGGGAGGAGGAGGAGGAGGAGGAGCAGGAGGAGGAGGAGGAGGAGGAGGAGGAGGGCCATTTTTATGTTCGGCCCCCTGGCGCCCTGCCGGCAGGCTAAACCAGGTGCCGTCTGCGCGGCAGTCAGGCCGCGCCGCCGTCGCCGAAGGGCGACTCCCTGCCCGCCGCCACGCGCGCCCGCGCCCAGCGAGCCGCGGCGGCGGGCGAGGCGAAGCCGTGGAGCTCAGCCGCCTGCCAGGCGTCCGCCGCGACAGGCCTCAGCCCCCAGCGCGGCGGCCGCCCTGCGCCAGCGGGAGCGCCTGCGCCATCCTCTTCACCTGCGCCGTCGCGGAGCACCGCCGCGAGCCGCGCCTGCTCCTCCTGCGTGGGCGGCTGCGGAGCCGAGAGCCTGGCCTTGCTCTTGGGCTCCTGGAGGCGCATCAGGAGCCGCCGCGCCTCCGCCGCCCTCTCACCAGGGGCTGGCCGCCCCTTGCAGCTGCCCAGCAAGCCTGCCCCAGCGGGAGGGGGCCGCTTCCAGAATCGGCAACCGCACTTCAAGCACCAGGCCACGGCCCCATCCCTATTCTCGAGGCGCGAGACGACGATGCAGTGCCCGCGCGCCTCCCGCGCCACTCCAGCTCCTGCGATCGCGGCCTTCAGCTCGGGAGCGGCCGCAGCCGCCTCCGCCAGCTCGGCGGCCGCGGCCCCAGCGGCAGCGGCGGGCGCCTGGCCGTGCTCCTCTCCAGCAGCAGCCCCAGCAGCGGCGCCAGGCGCCTGGCCGAGCTCGAGGTCGGCCTCGAGCGCCAGCGCCGCCACCTCCGCGTCGGCCTGCTCCGCCGCGTCCAGCGCCTCCTGCGGGATGTCGTAGACGAGGTCGGCCGCGCCCACGACCCCGTCCGAGTCCAGCTGCTCGCGGTCCACCATGGTGGCGGCCAGCTCGCCAACCCGGCGCCCGAGCTCCTCCACGCGCCAGGCGCGCGCCTGGAGAAACCAGACCAGCTCCTCGTCGATCGGCCACAGAGCAGCGCCTCGCTTGGCCCACAGGTCAGCTGCCCTGTTGCCCCTGATCAGGAGCTCGTCCTCCCAGGTGGCAGCTGCAGAGATCACCTTGTGTGCCTTGGCCTTCCGCGCCGTGGCCGTCGGGCCTGGCCCAGCCCACCACTCCTGCCAAAGGTGGCGGCGCGCCTGCAGCGGCGCGAGGGCCTTGCCCTGCGAGAGCGCCAAGCCGACCGTGCCCGCGCAGTCGCAGAAGACCTCGGGGCCCGAGCCGTCGGCCGACGGCAACCAGAACTGGGCCAGCATGTGGAACGCGTAGTCCTCGCCGTCCCTGGCCTCCTGCTTGGGCCCGTGCGCCCGCGGGACGATGCCGTGCATCCCGCCAATGACCTCCCCGCCGAGGCCGATCTGCACCACCGCCCAGCCTGCGCGGCGGGCCCCGCGCAGCGCAGGAAACCTGGCGCTGCCGTCCACGAAGACCCTGCCCGCGAACTTCGAGCCAGGCGGCACGCCAAACCAGCGCGGGGCCGCGAGCGCGGCGTCGGCCGTCGCGGGGAAGGCCAGGACAGGGTCGGGGCACAGCGCACGCGCGAAGAGCTCCACCGCAGCGTCCCCGCGCTGCGCCACCTGCCGCGCCCCCTCCAGCAGCTCTTGCGAGCGCGCGTCCCGCCGCAGCATCTGCCAGGCCTCGCACTCGAAGGCCCTGTGCCGCAGCGTGCCGCGGCCTCCGCAGAGGCGGCGTAGGCCGTCGCGCGCCTTGCCCTCCTTCCAGAGGCGCTCCTGCGGCCAGTGGGGGCCGCCGAGGACCGCTGCGAGCGCTCGCCTGTGGCGGGCCTGCCAGTGCGGCAGCGGCGGCGCGGGCTCCTGGCAGCCTGCGCCCTCAGCGGCCTCGGCGTCGGCCTGCCCCTCAGGGCGGCGGCGCGCGTGGAGGAGGCGCTCCAGCCCCTTCCAGTGCACAGGCCATGCCCAGGCTCCAGGCCCGCGCAGCCGCTTCAGCGCAAGTACGTCCGAGGCCAACATCGCCGACTCACGCGCCACCTCCACCATCATGCCAGGCGAGTAGAACTCCAGCGAGAGGACACGCGCCTGCCAGTCTATGACGGCATTGTAGACCACCATCTCGATGCCGACCCGCCTCAGCGCCAGCACGCATGCCTGCGCAGGGTCGCGGCACTGCCCCCAGGGGCGGCGAAGGTCGAGCAAGCCTTGCGCCCCAAGCCAGCACTCCTGCACCACCGCGGCGCTGGGCAGGCCCGTCCCCCGCGTCATGCCCCAGGAGCGCGCCACCTCCACCGCATGCACCACGAAGGGGTCGCGGTAGGCCGCACCGCGCATCGCCCGCAGCCGCAGGCCGACGCTGGCGCCCATGGGCAGCCTGCCTTCCGCACGCATGGCGGCGACCCGCAGGCCGTGCAGCTTCCCACAGGCGAGGCCCGTCACCGCGGAGCCCCAGACGGCGGTGGCCGTGGGGCTGCCTCTCTGGATGTGGCCCACCTGCGCACCTGCACTGCGCAGCAGGCGCGCCCGCGCGCTGACCTCCGCCGCGCGGCCAAGCCGAGCGTCCTGCTCGCGCACGCGCCTCTAGCGCCCATCGGCGGCGTCGCCACCGAGGCATTGGGCGCCAGTCCAGCGGGCCAGCGGCCCATGCGCCCAGCAGCCGTCCAGCTCGTCACCGAGGTCCTC